ATAAATTTCATAATAAAATATAATAAAAATAATATTTTTATTATATTTTACTATATTTTATTATGAAATTTATCAAAATTAAGTCTTTTTTAACTGGTATTTATTTAATAAATATTAACTAAAAATTTTTTTAAATTATAAATATATTTTCTATATTTTTAAATATATTTCTATAAAATTATTTTCATACTTACTTATAAAAAATATTTTTAAATAATTTTTTATAGCACTTTAATCAGAATAGTCCTCCAGTACATCACCTTTAGCATGTGATTCCACAAAATATTACTATATTAACACACTTTGTGATCTTAGAAAATTTTATTTTCATAATCTTAAAGAATATAATGTCAAATTTTCATAAATTTTTAGCAATTTCTTATTAAGTTATATGTGAAAAATATATTTATCATTACTTTTTATACTGACTGTATAATATATCTTTATTATTATAAATCTTTTAAAATTTTAATAATATGACAGATCTATTAAATATTAAAATATTAATTAATTATTAATATATAATTTAATATAATTTCTAAATTTTAATATTATAATATTTTTTAAAATAATTTTAATAATTATATAATATTAAAAAAATACAAATTCTTAATCTAAAACTTTCTAAATATAATATTTTTCTTAAAACAAGTTTAAATTTTAATTTAAATATATATAAATATAATTTTTCATATAATATTAAAAAGTTAATTTGAATAAGTTAGCTTTAAGCTTTGATTAATAAGAAAAAACTTTAAAAAATTTATCATATTATCTATTAATAATATTTGTTAAGTTATTCAATATACTAATAAATAATATATAAAAGTAAGTAATAATAAAATTAAAAATATATTCTGAATTTATTTTTCATAATCATATTTTATTATTATAATTATATAATTTGATATAAATAAATAAATATATTCTATATAATAATTAATTTTTATAGTATATATTATATCATTATAAAGATATTTGAATTTATATAATTTATATAAAAAATTCGAGAATGCACAAGTTTTTCATTACTATTATTATAAATTAATAAAGAATATTACTCTTCTATTTTCAAATGATATATAATTATATAATAGATCATATAAGAAATGAAATATGAAAAGTTTTATCAAAAAAATTTTAGAATCTTTAAAATATCTATTTCTATATTCATTTTAAAGTTAATAACTAGAGAATGTCTAAAAAGGACCTAAAAATATATGAATAATGTCATTCTAAAGAAAATAAGTATTTTACATGAAAATTTTTAATTAGTAAAATTTAACTTCAAATATTTTTGTTATCAGAAAGGATTAAAATGGATTGACTTATTAAGAAATGTACCTCTTGATGAGAGCTATCTACAACCAAGATCAATTCACTTCAATCCTTCTGATAACAAAACAATTTGGCGTTAAAATTTCACTAATTAAAAATCACTTATTTTCTTTAGTATGGCATTATTAATATATGTTTAGGCCCTTTTTAGACATTCTTTAGGTTATTAGCTTTAAAGGAACCAGTTACATTTAATCGATGTTAGAGGAACTAGAATTTTTTTGGTAAACTTTTCGTGGTTTGTTTCTTATGTGACCCACTGTATCACGCTAAAGGTTTGTCGTCAATAAAATATTTTGGAGTAGTTCCACTTATATAGTTAGCATTAATTTTTTAATTACTATTTACATATACAGGAATAAATCGTACAATTACGACCATGTGAATTTAATTCAGATTTTTTCCTCACCTCATAATGTCATCGTGACGTTTCATCCAATATCGAAAGATTTTTTTATGGGGTGTGTATTTAACAAAGTCTATGTTCTGAGTCATTAGTATATAATCACGTGGTTCAAATATTTCACTTGTAAAAAATATTACGTAATAATCACTACCCTAACCATCCAATCAGCTGCTATAAATGATGCACACACATACTCGATTGTTCCATAGATTATTTTTACATGTAATAAATAAAGGGTACGCCTTTATCAACTGACTAGTGGTATATACTATATTAAAATACGACGGTAAAAAACACGATAGAAATGCTTGTCATAATTAAATGTATTAATTGTCTCGTGGTGTTTTTTATTCATGCATACACACATCCTCAAATTAATATTCAGAAATTAACTTCATAAGTTCATTCAGTATTGATGCAGATATCGTTCATCTTGATTATGTTGTGTATACAGTATAAGGAGAAAGAATCGGTAGTAAAACAGGTTTGATCCATCCATTAAGATGGTATTACAGTCAAATTCCAATATGTGCATGTACGCATAACGAACCTCTGGGCTGGAAATATTTTATGTCATTGTATCCAAGTTCGTTATAACGAGGTTTTGACTGCACATGAAATAATTTTCTCTACAGTTAATTATCGTTAAAGTTCTTTATTATGCATGACAAATCTTTCTTATAAAGTCGCAAATACCGCATATTTATGTAATGCCACATTTACTATAACTAAAATGTTCATTATACTAACTTTATGAGCAAAAAAACATAACCTTCATTACAACTGTATAGAGAATTACGTTGTGGAGAAATACGACAGATAATAAATGAACTACATGTATATAACACATACACAGCCACACGGGTCCGAGAGTTCACAAAATATTCGGCCACGGTTCAAATTAAAATTTTACTATCTGCTATCGCTTTAAATCTTCTTCGTATTCCTTTCATTGGATGTCTGTGCACTGAAAACAATTTATTTTCTGACTTCGTGTTCAAATAAGAAGACGCAGTATGAACAGAGATTTTATCTTGTAGTAAGTATTAGGAAAACATAGTAAATGACGCATTTTGTATTTTCAAGCACCACATGCATCCATGCATATCGTGACACGGCAATAATTGATTCTTTTGACACAAGAAATGCGGCCGTAAAATAAGTACAACACATGATAAATCCGACAATCATAGATTATTTTTAACAATAAAAAATAAATATACAACAATGTCTTGGAGTATCAGACTTATGACAGGTACATGTACATGAATATAAAAAGGTTAGTTATTAGGAATAATCTATTAATCTATCAATCTACAAAGTATCATCATCGTTCTTTATTAAACATCACTGTAGATACCGCATAGTCATTCATTATATGCATCAATTTTAAATATACATCTATGTAGTAACGATAAGAATAATAATAAATCTGCAAGAGAAATGAATTATTTTTCGTTATACTTTTATTTATATATAAAGAGGGGGGCGGAAGAAAAATCTCGCCTGAATTTTGTTTACCTTCTCAAAATCCCTTTTTTGTTTTTGATAACGATTTTTCCACATTTATAGATTTAAAAAGGCTTATTTTTTATTATCTTTGAAGAGTGATTTGTAACGAAACAAAAAAAATATATATATATAAATTGTACACTATATTTTCCGATTTATATTGAAAAGTATTGAAACTTGCAAATATTATATCTAACAGATCGAAATGCAACCGCAAGCCCAAGAAAATGACAATAATGAGAATGTCGACAATGAACAAACAATAATATCTAATGCTTCTAATAATAACAATCATGTATATGGTACTTTTGCGCAAAATGTAATAATAGCAGGTACTTTAACATCACCTGTCACTTCAACTACAAAGTTATTATCAGACAATGATGATCCAGAATTAGAAAATCAATCTTGTTTCGTTAATCCAATAAACGGATGTGCTGCTTCAATTGGCAGTTGTGTATTTCCTACAACACTTTACCTAAAGAATGATGCTTCAACAGCAAGAGACAATTTTTGTAAGTCTTGTTATTCATATTCATTAGTCTGTTGCATCATTCCTTCATAAATTCTTGCATTAAAATCGATTTCAACACGCAAACAGCCATCGAAAGAAACTTTCTATCATGGTTAAGAATCAGCACATCATTCAACCTGATCGGTCTCTCAATCTACTTCCGATTTCACTTGATTCCACCACCGGCACAAGACGAGATCGCCAGACTCGAGAACCAATACTCGAAACCAATCGGCATGATGTTTATCGTGTGCGGTTTATTTCTGCTGTGTTGGGCAGTGTGGCAGTATTTCGGGTTTCAACGAATGCTCGCGACACGTGTAATGAGAGTCGAGAATAGTCGATTGAATTTCTGTATCGCGTTTTTCGTTGGACTTTTAATATTTTCGGCGTTAGTAGTGAATATCGTGTTCGAGAATGCTAGGCCGAGGAAGGGATTTGATAGTAGTGTTAATAGCACTTTTATTACTACTGACGATAATCTCTGGTTTGGATCATCTTGGTAGCTTCCGTTAATTACGATATAGCAAAGACATTATCATTTTTTATTTATTTGCACAATCATTGTTTCATCTTAATTTATTTCATCATTTGGCGCGTCATTTTTTATTTATTTGAACAATTATTGTTATTGTTTCATCTTAGTCTATTTCATCACTTGCGCGCGAGGGAGAGAAAACAAACAAATCAAGTTAGAGAGCGCAATGTCATACTTTTGTATATTTTATCTAGAAATTCATTATAACATTATAGTAGTAGAGATCAATCAATTTTGACACCAAAATACAAAAAATTTATTGATTATATATTTACAACGTCACCAATATAAACTCATCTCTATTTTTGAATTATTTCAAGGTCTCGCTTAATAATAAACTTATGTTACCAAAAATGTCATTAAAGCTTGATAAATTTACTCATTATTAGGAGTTACACGAGTTTGCTGTTTCCCTAGATTGTTAATGGTTGAAGGTAAAGTTGGAACTTTGGGAAAAGTACGACGACTAATCAACAAGCCTTTAATACTTCTGATTTGACTCTTGCACTGAGAAACGGGAGAATCTCTTTCATGAACACTTGACCATGAAGAATAATCGTATAATTTCGTGGAGAGAAAAGAGGAGAGATCATTGAGTGCAGCGAGTGCATCGGGTATTGTTTTTGATTCGGCATTCCTCTTGTTGGTTGTTTCTAGGAGATGAGCGATTGCGAGTATTGTGGTATGAATTGGTACGAGAATCTCAGCTGGTTTTGGAGAAGTTGTATCCAAAGAATAGCTTCCGTCTGACGAGGTTGTTAATGCTTGTCCATTAGCAGAAGAAACACGATTAACGAAATTGAACGTTCCAAGATTTTCATTCAGTTTTCTGATAAGTTCCAATTGATGTTGATAAAGTTGACGTTGTGCTACCATAATTGCACGTGCTGCAGGTAATATGTAATTCTTTTATCACATGAGATTAAGGTTAATATGGAATTTTTCACTATAAAAGATTCAAACAAAAGAGACACAATTATACCTTGATTGCATGAATTAATGCACCACTGATTCCACCGGTAACAAATAATACCACAATCAATTTTTTGAGTGTAGCGACTTTTGATTGGGAAGCTGGGGGAGGAGTTTGAACCAAGTTATTCGATAGAGAATTATATACAACCGGCGTTGCAGCTGATGTCAAGGGCAACGTGTCTTGCATTTTATATGTTCGCGGCGGTAATCTCGGTGGAGTAGTTAAATTATTTGTCTCGGATACTATTGGTAATGAGCTAAAAGGGTCATCTTCAGAAGTAATGTCATCCTATATAAAACACGTTAAATTGATATTAGACAATAGAATTAATTGAGTTGCTTAATAATTAATAACTTACTCTTTGTGATCGTTCCAATGCCAATTCAATTTCTTTTTCGGTTAAACCTTTTTTCTTTAGAAATGCAATTTTCTTCGACATGCTTGCCTTCTTAACATTTGGGCTCGATAAAAAGCTTGCCGCCGACTCGACGATTTTTTCTCTAGCAGTTTCGGATCCTTTCGTTGTAACTATTTTTGGTGATTCTTCCGGCGCTTTTGAAATTGAGGGAATTTTTTCTCCTGCTGTTGTGGGTGTTGTCTTTAACCGATTCTGTTGGGATTTTTCTTGCGCTAAACGTGTCTTTTCAATTAATTCTTTTCGTTTCTTTTCTCGTTCTGTTGCAGTCATTTTAGGACCAAGCAGTTGTCGAACAGCGTCATTTTTGTTTTCCTCTTGCTCCTCTTCTCCCTGAACTTTGCTTTCTTTCTGTTGTGACTGTTTAGTTTTCGGTGTTCTGGCTTCATTGTCTAAGTTAGTTTGGCGAAGTTCATTATCCTTATCGCCTTCATTCGTATTATCATCACCATTCTCATCGCTATTATTTTCATTTTCATTCCCATCATTAATCAATGATGTATTTTTTTGGGTGGAAGAAATCACTTTTGATTTGAGAGTTTCTTCTTTTTCAGCAGAGGTTTCGCGCAGAGGTGGTTCCTTTGTTTCTTGAACTTGTTTTTTAGTTGGCGGGAACCAATTTTCCGCGTCTGAATCCTCCTCGACGCCTTGCTCACCTTCGAACAAGTCTACAAGACTTGAATTTTCTTCGTCCTTTGGAAATTTATCGTGTGTCATTAATCAAATTCAGAAAGTATAAAGAGCAAAAAACGTACAAAAAGCGGGTGTGAGAGTTTTCACGATTGTTGATTGTTGAATGAAAATCAAAAAAATTTATGATCTGCAGAAGCACAAGCCACCAAATTGAGTCGGATCCGACACGGGACGGATAACACGCTTCACTCTTTATTATAAAGTTTTCATTTCCCGTGGTATCACAAGAAACGGGTTCTATCCCGTTATAGGGATATCGATATACAGTACATATTTGCTCGACATGTGTGATGTTAGCAATTACGTATTACATGAATGGGAAATTTTTCGCCTACAAAGAAAAATACTAAAATGACTAGACGATGATTCACTCGGAAGAGTCTGCGACAGTATGCTCATTCAAGCCAACCAACTCCAAATAATTGTCATCACCCATACGAACCATGACCATACTCTCTTTCAATAGATCAGCCATATCAAGTGGTGCGTAATTCGTACAGTTAACGAACCTCAACGAACATAAATCTTCCAAAAAATGCCAACTCATGATGCCATGACAAGCATCCCTGTTAAATTTGCACTGATTAAACAAAACTTCCTTTAGATGATGAGAAAGACCATCACGTTTTTTTCGAAGTGCATCAATTATGGAAGGTAGGCCGTATTTGACTCCTTCAATGACAAAACGTTCAAGGTTATCTTGCATTTTAATTAATGTGGCCACTTGCTTTAAACAGGAGTTCACGATTTCGTAATCTTCGGATTCAGATTCACCGAAATAGATTGCTAATGTAACTATACGAAATTGATGCCTGCTAAAGAAATCAATTAATCTTAAAGATGAATCCCATGGTGGGCTTAGATGAATTGAAACCCATTTGAGCTTCTTGGCTGCTTGTGCGAATTTTTTCAATAAAGTTCTGGTGATTAGTTGAGGAGCTGATGATGGAAAATTATTTCCCGGTCCATTCGCCCATGCTCTTGCAGCTTCCATTACGTCCGCGTCATTGACCACTTGTAGGAATTTAATGTAATCGTAGGTGGGTTTGGCTAACGAACGTGGCATATCAATTCCACCATCCCGAATAATTTCCCATTCAAAATCATTACAGCAAGTTAGATAAGTACTAATTATTTCTCTTTTTATTTGTTCAAGACTTTGATAAACAAATGTCTCTGACACCCAAAGGTCATCTTCCTCGTCATCCGACATGATACTATCCCCGTCAAAACGTCTTCGAAGGTCTTCAAGATCCTCGAGAGATGTTTCGAAAATGTTATCGTTGTTATGATTGACATCATTAGCGTTATCTGTCATTAATCCCAAGGGATTGCCAGTAATATTGGCACTTTCGATATTTTCTATTTTGGCCAAACCAAAAGGATTACGCCATAATAGAGGAATTACAACGGAATTCCACGTACGATTTACTAGTGCACAAGCATGCAGTGAGTGTCTGTCTTGTTCAAAATGACCAAATATTTCTTTGAGCAAGTCAACCGGTAAATTCATAATTTTTTACTTTAATATCAAAGTTTGTAATGTTGCAAAATGTTAAGGAAAAGAAAATGTAGAAAATTGTTCAACCAACTGCATTATGTATTAAATCACATGAACAGCGCCAATTTTCCAACAAAAACACCATCGCCATGCTAAAAAAGGTTACAAAGACGGAAGCAAAATCGCGCAGTTATCTGGAAATGATCTGCGGGAAACCCACAAAGATGCCTGAATCGGTGCATGTATTCTCTTATACAAGCATCATCTGCAAAAAAAAACTCGGGCATGTTATTTAGTGTGGCTAGTACTAATAAGGATGCATAAATTTTTGGACACAAAAAATGAAAAACAGATGTTGGCGTAGTGTCCAGTTATGCGCAGTAATTTATTGCAACCGAAAAACGTCATTCATTATGATAATCAAAATTTAAAAAAAAATTAAAAGAACTCGGCAACTTTGGAACGCGATATCTCGACGTCCAACAATCCAATTTGGGCAAAATAGACCATTTGATTCGTCTAGATTAGATAAATCGAATGGCCAAATGGGACTTTCGGACGTCGAGATATCGCGCCCCAAAGTTACCGGTTTTTAAAATTTATTTTGCATTAAATCCTTTTGATAATGCATGCTTTTTATCACCTAAAATAAAAATTCATTTGCAGGAGTAATAATCGAAAATGTTGTGAGGCAATTTTACATTTACATACATATACATGTTACTCCGATTAAACCGTACAAATTAGGTTGAACCATTTGTCCGGTTAAACACTGGTTTAAAAATGAAACTTTAGTTTTCTAAATTGTATAAGAAATTATCAAATGTAGTTTGTTTCAAATTTTTTATCTTATAGATTGTAATATATATTAATTCTCCCTCTACTTCAAAATTAAATAAAAACAGGTGTTATTATCAGTAGTAATAAATGTTAATATGATTGTAACTTGGTCTTTTGATATTTTTGTCCTTAAAATATTAATTCTTGCTAGGATTCACCAAAGTTCAAGGTTTCAGAAAAGAAATATCTCATTTACATATATAAATGTCTTGTAATTCAAAGCCTTATCAAAAATAAATAGGGCTGCTTTACCAGAGTTTGGATTCATAACATGTTTGATTACAAAATCAGCCATTAGAGCTGTTAAATTTTCAATATCATTTCTGCAGAATTATGGGGATTTTTGTTTAGCATGGTCAAACCACAATGCTAGTGCTTTCTCAAGATCAAAAAATTTAGTAGCTGGTTTTGATAGTTGCCTTTTTTTCTAGAACAAGTGAGAAAATGCTCTCCAATAGTGCTTTAACCTATTCCAAATTTCTAAGTGAGTTGTGTGTAGATAAGACTAGACTGGTCTTTCTTTCGTTGGCATAATAAGATTTTCTCAGCACCAATAAGACTCTTTTTCTTTGTCATTCACTTCTGACTTTCTTAACTTCTTGGCTACATTTTGCCATTATTTTCGATGATTCGTCCAGCGTAAAGATATTGGTAGAAACACAGTCACACACACAACTTCAAACCCGAAACTTGATTTGAAATTATTGAGATTAGGAAAAGCTTAATCAAAGGAATTAATTAGTAATCACCAAGTGATTAATAGTTTTCGCAAGCATCCAGTCTTTTTGATCATCCCCGTCTTTGTCTTTCCCCGTTCATCATAACATTCTGCAATAAAATATTCCTCTCATGATAAGACCTGGGTACTTTTCATCCACCATTCTGGCCTAAGTTTCATTAATACCGAGTATAACCTATATGACTTTTCATATAATTTAGTATCCACGGTCTTGAATAAGACCCTGATTATGGCCTACGATATTGAGTTTTTTTTTAGTGAGAAGGTGATCAAAAATCTGGTATGTCGTCGTATTATATACACAGTCACGCTCTTTATAGTGGACCTCAGACTAATTAAACTCACGATATAATTAATGGATAATATCCAAAACTGCATTTTAACTAATAGATTTTTTGAGAAACTATAAAGTGAGTCACTGTAGATTTATCCACTGGAGATGTAAAAAGCCAAAAATTAGATTTATCAACAATTAACGAAATAAGGAATTTTCGCCACAATAAACAAAGAACATGACTAATTAGGGGAAAAAACCAAACAAAAGCAGAAATAATTTTTCATAGACTAGGAATAGGAATAAATTTTCTTTTGGTCTTATTACGTTTCGAACATTTGAATTGGGATGCATTTTTTATTTTGTTGCCATTTTCTTGCGCTTTCGCAAATAATTGGTGGCAGGTAGATTTCTACATTAAATTTAGATGCATTATTAAAACATCTGTCACTATAAATTTAACACGTGGAGATATTGCTGTAAACTAATTCATATATGCAAAATTCAATATGAAAAAGAATGAAATTCTTTATATCGATATGTAACATCAATATAAGATAATGCATTCTTGTTTATTATGATTCCGTATCCGTATCCGTAACAGTATTGAAATTTAGCCTTTGATTTATGGTTATTAGAGATTTAAGGGTATATATTTACTTTTCTGATTCTATGCAACTTGTATTAAATTTATTCCTTATCGTTATCAGCACCATTTACCCAGATTATCAATAGAAAAATTATTTATACGTAAGAATAGCGATATTTAATCTAACAAAATTAATGCTGTTTTTTTATTAAGCATAAATCCAATACACAATGCCATCGCACCTCCGCAAAACAACCTCAATAGTCACATTTTTCTTAACTATAATATGCAACAACTTTTTTAATCGACAATTTACTTAATTATATTCAGTTTTCTTATTAATTTTATTTAACTTTCGCAGACTCGGAAAAGAGATCTTTGATTTGTCAAGGTCGGAAATGTTGAAGTATTTGGAGTAGAATGTGTTATGAAAAGGAAACTGCGTCATAATGCCATAGAAAATAAATGTGACTCTCCATTTAAAAGAACTTTTATTAATATTCACAATTATAACATCGATGGCTGGTGATCATTATTACAAAATTTTGGTTTACGAATCAGCGTTTATTCGTCATTTATTGCAGCATTTCGAGCGAATCGAAAATATGCTTTTTTTTGTTGATGATATTGGATAGCATGCATTTTAAACTCCTTGTTCAGAGAAAATGTACATGTAATAAGTAAAACGGAGACTAATCATAAAGATTGTGTCAATAGACTGATCAAACTTTTTTTGGTGCATAAGTAAATTCGACAATGGCGATTAACCATAACGATAACTATGAGTTCACTGAATACAATCAACGGGGAATGGAGAAAAAATGATAACGATAAATGTTTATTTCGAATTATCTTTGTAGTCAGTGACCTTGAACATAAGCGTATCCTTTCATTATCAAATTCTCCCAATCATACAATTTTTATTGAAGGGAGATCCCAATATAGTCATTGACTCATGATTAAATATAGGAGTATTTCCTTCAGAATACCCAAAGAACACTAGTCTAAAGGAACTAAAAACCATTACATTTTTGATAAATTAGCACTTTTATTGACTGTTATATAATACTAAAGAATTCTTTACTTATTGCATTTGTTATTCGTTAATTTAGACATAAAAATTTTAAAAATTGATTGGTTTCTAGAAATATCTTTGTACATGCAGAAGTTAGTTCGTCCCCGTTTACGTGTTCTTTTTTTTCGTTCAGAAAACTTGGTATGTAACACGTATCGTATAGAAATCCACGAGTAACTTCCATTGTGAAATGGTATTCCATCGAAGAATACCAAGATAATTTATTTAAAAATATAAATACAGTATCAATATACCACACCACAGTGAGTTGATATCAAATATTTTATAAAATTATTATTGCTAATAAAATTTACTTTAAATTATATCAAACGAAAATGTGTGAGCGTAAGAACTTCGTATTCACAACTAGAGGCCGACGTCGTCAGCGTCGTATAATTCGTCGTCAACGTAGACATGTTATCTTTAAAACAATTGTTAAATTAATTGCTGATGCTTTCTCTGGTCAAGCAACTACTGAAAAGACACAACCACAGCAAAACCAATTACTACAACAACAACCATCCACAAATAATCAAAAACCACAAGTCCAAAGCAATCATTTAACCTCCAACAACGTGATCCAACAATCACCGAATCGGGAAACAGAAACTTATATGATGGAAGCTCCGCCTTCTTATCAAGAAGCGATAAAACCATATAAAGTTTAGATTTTAATTAGAAATCGATTTTTTACTACTTATTTCATTTCTACACTGAGATTTTTTCGGTTTGTATTTAAAAATCATGCGATCATTTTGATTGTTGCCTGCGCAAAAAAGAATGAGCACATTTAAATGATAGCATGCTTAGTAATAGCTAAATAATCCAGTCAGCACAAACTCTCTTTTCCAATGTACATATTATGTTATTATCTAATTTAACCCGTTCTTTATATCAAGAGACTCTGAATTATCATGTTTATTAAAATACATGCTTATATGTCAACTTTTGAACTTAAACTTAATCAAAAAAAAAAGAATAAACCATAATTTAATGAATACATGTATATATTGGATGTGGCAATTCACTAGTATTACGAATGTTACATTCTAAGTCTTCGAGATAACCTGTTTTCAAATCATAAACCCATCCATGCACTTCAAGTTTTTTGTTTGCTTTCCAAGCGTTTTGTACAATGGACGTCGATGCGATACTCTGAACTTGGGCAATAACATTCAATTTTACCAATCGATTCCATTTTTGATCTTTGTCGTCTGTATCAAATTGTGGCGAGTTTCTGTTATAAACGTCCTTAATGTTCAAAAGCCAATGATCAACAATCCCGTTTTGATTATTAGACAGAGCAGCTTCGACTCCGCCGCATCCATAATGACCTGGTTTTTAAAAGAAATTAAAAGGTATTTCCGATATCATTCAGAATAAAATCTCTCACATACCACACACGATAACGTGCTCGATTCCTAGATGTTCAACGGCATATTGTAAAACAGATAAAGAATTTAAATCCGTATGAACGAATTGATTCGCTATATTTCTATGCACAAAGATTTCGCCTGGGTTCATTTGAACAACTATTTCAGCGGGTACTCGACTATCCGAGCAACCTTAATATGAGCAAATTGAATTATTTAATATTCATAATATTTAGTAGATACGAGTTAATCTGATATTTACCAATCCATAAAATTTTTGGTTTTTGTTTTTCTTTAGCCGTTTTCTCAAAGTAGCCAGGCTGAACTTTAGAAACTAAATCTGCCCATGCTTTATTCTTCGCTAAGAGCCCATCTAAATTCCCTCCAAGTTCACTAAATGTTCCCGGTAAAGGTTTAAGGAGTTCATTAGCACGATGAAGTACTGAGATATAAAGTTTTTTTTTAAAAAAATGTCGTTTAATCAATATATGGCTGGCTCTACGGGCATTTTTCGAAGTTACGGTAAACAGAATACTTACAATCTATTTCTGTTGTTGCCGTTGTTTCATTCGGATGATATTCTGTTTTTCCTCGTCTTGTTGTCGGACGCTCTTCATTTGGTTCAGACATTTTCGTAAAGGTAGAAAAAATCAGTGGCGGTTAATTATATACAGTATGGTTTTGTGTAACATTACAATATACACAACACCTACACAACACCGGAAAAGGTACACCCGATCCGATTTGGGAAAACGGAACATCATAAAAACCTCCACCTTTTTTTTATTGGCCCAAATTTTGAAATGCTATAAATAGTCATGATATTTTGCATGCAAATAATGCTACTTTGAGATGACCAATTTATTAAAATTATTTTAGACAACTTGATAGTCCAGTCAATATACTGACATTTAGCTAAAATATTTTGTTTATTTAAATGAAGCTTGACGCAAAATGTTATTCTACTACTGGATTTCCCACGGACTTTTTTATTACGTTTAAATGACGATAAGTTCTGACAATATTTGTACAGGAAAATTTAACGCTATTGACAAATTCGGGACTTTTTACCACTAACGTATTAACATTATTTTTCATTTCATTATCAAAATATCATTAACAATATTCGATCTGATAAATTGCAATCGATAGCAAAATCGATCTTGAAAAAGCAAGTAAAAAATACGCGCAAAATTTTAGAATGTAGTTGATTTTGAAAGCTAACACTTTATCTAGCATAATTTTAGTCATTAATTGCATTACTCTGTTTAACCTTCCCATTAATAGAAATTGACAGTTTTCAGAAATTATGTTTATATTTAAGAAACTTTAAATATTTTAAGAACAGAGAATTATATAATAATTGTAATAACTTCATATTAATAAAGTCTTCATTGATTTATTTAAATAATATTAATAATAAAATTTATTTTATTTTTTGTAAATATAAAATATAATAAAATTAAGCAAATCCATATTATAATCTTAGAAATCAGATCTATCTAAAATACTCTGATAATATTTGTATTATTTTTATTTTCAATCATTCAGTATTTATTTCATATTATTTTCATATTTATAATTTATATATCTCTATTTTTCTTTGTTTTGAATTTAAATAGATTCAAATATTTCAATTATTTTTTAATATATTAATATTTTAAAGTTAATCATTATTAAAATTCTTTTCAAATATTAATTATTATTAGATTATTATAATTAAATGAATATATATAAAAAATATATATTAAAAAGTTAAGAAAGATTCAAGAAAATTATTAATTAAAATTGTTAAATTAATAAGTTATAATATTATATAAAAAATAAATATTTAATTCTTTATTATTAAAGTAAATAATTAATTCTTATCAAGTATTAATAAAGTAAAAAAACTTTTGATAATAATATATTATATAATAAAATTAATTTTTAAATAATTTTGAATAACTTGAATAAAATTTATTAATAAAACAGTAAAAATTAAAATTTTCTTTTTATATTAAAAATTATAATTTTATTAAGAAATAATTTTTATTTTTATATTAAAATAAAGTTTATCAATTATAATTTAACATATATTTTT